CCGAAGACAGATTTCCATCCTGAAATTGTCTGCGATGACTCGTGAGTTTCTTTGCGCATTTCGGTGCGTGGGAAACGAAAGGTTTGCGAGTATTTTTAAAAAATGTTTTTTTACCGCCGAATGTCATGAAGGCAAAGGAAACGATCGCGTCATTGCCCGTACATTCGTACGTATTCATATGGCGGTGCAATCGTATTAAGAAAGGGACATTTTAATCTTATCACGGAAGTGGTTGTCCGTCACCTGCTGTCGTATCCGATGGAGAAGTACCCCCGCCACGCGGCGTTTTTCCTGATTAAGATATCTGTAAAAGTTCTGCAATTTCGTAGGCATGGCTCGAACATTATCGACCGCGTGGAGTCTGCGTGGGGGCGATAAAATGTCTTGTGGGCTGCAATTCATTCGCATCGTGTCTCCTGATTTATTCTTCCACTCCTTTTTCTGTTTCAAGGTACGGTATTTCTTCGTTCGAATGTTTTTTCTTCAGAAGTGGACTCACTGTCTGCGATGCTAATCAAGGGATGGATGAATGCGTTTTATAGAGGAACTGATGATGTATTACTGCAACATTTGTAAAAAAAAAGGCCCATCAGAATAAGAAAAAAAATATGTGCTAAGAAAGTGTAAGAACTTCTTCACACGTATCGGTTTTTGTGAGTAATCGATTAATTACTGTATTGCAGTATTTAAAGTGCGAGAAATTTTGCAGATTACTGTATATTGGTTCTATTTTGTGGGATCAACGTATTTTCTCTCATTTTTGTCTATGCATCTTTTTGAAAAAAAAATTTAGTACTGTACTTGAATATGTTATTCCCATCTGAGATTTTTGTTTTCTTCCGTCATGGTTAGCAATTCCCAGTGCGCGTGTGGTGCAAAATATTTTTCCGCGCCCAAAACGGGGTTTTTGCGTCGACCCGGAGGGGTAACGCCCGGGTTACGCGTTATTTCCTGCTCGAGGATTTTTCCTGGCACCCTTTTCATCAACATGTGTTGACGTACTCATCTCTCACTCCTTCCCCGTATGTATTTGAAAGAAAAAATAATTTTGTCTTTTTTTTCTCGAGTATCCGCTGTGGTGGGATCCTCACGAAAAGATTGCTCGCAAAAACAGTCCGGGAATTCCGTGGCAAAAACCTTTCTGTTTTCCGAATATTGCCTGAAAGAATTTCGAAAATATTATCTGCAGACTTTCTGTGTTACGCGATTAGCCAACAATTTCAAAACCGCGTCCTTTATATTTTCCTCGCGAGTTGATACCGTATCGTTGTTTCTGAACAAAGAGTGGCTTGTGTTCACCGAGGATGTGTTTGACAACGGGGTGAGACGAACATCGAAGTCGAGGATGCATCTTATACACACGTTCGCTCATTATGCCACCAGAAGAGTCGGGTTTTAAAAATAATTTTCCCTGCGGTTGAATTGGTGGCCAAGAATCGTCCACGCAGGAGGTTACAGTTTGTTCAACCCCCCGCCGGTCTTTGGCTCATACGTATTTCTTTTCTTTTTTTTTTCGTAACGCAATCAATAAGTGGAAGAAGAAACCCGTGCGCGTGGATTCTGTCGGAGCGTGTGTTCGCACAGTATTATTATGCCAAGAGGAAGTATATGCGTGTTTGTTACCCCCGGAAGAAAATAAGGATAGAAAGGACTACACTACCCCAACCGGGCGCAACCCGCACTAAATCTTGTGTGTCTTTTCCACCCGTTTTATTTGCTGTTTCTTGAGCGGAAGGTTTTTGTTGCTTCCGTTCGGAAGTACTAAGCCACGGCATCTGGGGGGAAACTGAATGACGTTTACGTACGGTTCGACGGGGTGCTGCGTTTATTTTTGCACCTCGGCGAAGATCTCGACTCGATTATTGCCAAGGCTTTTGTGGCACGACAAATGCTCGCTAATTTGGTGGAAATATTTTCGTTTTATTTTATTTTCTACCGCATTCCGTCGGCCGGATCGTCTTACCAGCGTTCAAGTCGCTTCCTGAGAGAGTGTGAAATACGACTTCGTGAACCACCGATGATTTAGGCCCTGTTTTGTCTGGGTTTTTCAGTTTTGCATAAAGCGTATAGACACGTTTATGCTACGCAAAAAGCATATTTAAAATACTGTAATGAAAGTTGCATGGTATTGGAACGCTGTATTTTATTTTGGGTTCATTATTCGAGGCCAAGTTCTAGTATTCGTGTTTTTCAGAATACGCTTTCATATTGTGTTTTTGATGTGGCGATTGAGTGTGGAACTGATGAATTTCTGTAGTTCCGAGTGATTTGAGGTATATTATCTATTGAAGAATAGGTTTTTCGGGACCTATTTCGGGATATTGCCGCAAAATGCGGGGGGAAATAACTGCATGGGGATCTCGTGCATGTTTGCTTGGGGATTTGAGTGTTTTTGGGCCGGAATTTTTGGCAAAACGCATCCTTGCGTGGCATTCCTATGAGCCCCTCATTTTTTGTTTTGCTTCCTTTGTTTGTGTCATTAAAAATACTTTTCGGCAGAAGGCTTTCTTTTTTCTCGTGTAATGTGAAGTGTTGGTTGGCGCGGGTTGCGGAGAATAATTTCCAGGGCAATGCTCTGGGCCCCAGGTCAGCTTGCTGACGAGGCCAAACGCGAGGTTTGCCTAAATTTAGAGCTTCCTGCTTTTTCGCTCGATTTTCCTGTGCTTTCGGGCATGTTTTAGCGAGAGGGGTTTAGGCATCGAGAGATGTAAGAGAGAAGGGTAAAGAGGAAATGGGGACTCCGAAAATAGTCCTTCGTCGTGGCTTTTTTTTTTTCTTTTTGTTCTTTCGGAGAGCATCTCGATGCAATCTTTGCGAAAAGGTCTTTTTTGTCGTCTTTCTTCTGCTGTTGCGCGAAAACAAGACTGTGACACTGCTGTCACGACTTGCTGTACCCTTTTCCCGACCCCTAACGGTTGTCTCATGGGAACTTCCTTATCCAGAAATAAGAAGAAAAGTTTTGAGTCGAGTGTCTCCCCGGTGCCGCCAGTCAGTTTTTTTCCCCTCTCATTTTAGCTCGTTTTTCCAGTGTCGTCTTCCGACGGAAAACGTTGAAAACATGCTGAGGGTGTTTTTTCCGCCTTCATGCGAGGAATGCTCCGTATCCAGTTTCGCGAAAAAGCCCTTCGGTTTTTTTTTTTTTTGCAAAGAAAAAAGGGGGGGAAACCCGACGACCTTATTTGCGGTTGTGGGATGATCCTTTTCGTTTCTTCCTGCGTGGTGCAGTGATTTATCTTCCGCTGTTGAATGGGTAAAAATATGTTGCCCCGCGGCGGCGTGTGGATCATTTGGCTGGTCCTTGTGTCAAAAGGGGTTGGACACTTGGCCCGCGGGGGTATTTTCTCCGGAAAGCGACGAAAAATGAATCCGCTTCTCCTTTTTATCTAACCAGGGAAGAAAAACATCCATGTCTGGTGTTTACGCTGTTTCCCTCTCCGCATACGAGGGCTGGTTCATAAGTTTGGTAATACTTGTGCTCTATTGGTAGACTTTTTTTATGGACGGAGTTTGACGCTCAACTCGGTATTGTTTTAATTTGTACCTGACAAATTTTTCAAGTCTTGTTCAGCCGACTTAAAACTAAACTAAAGAACTTTCGGACGATTTCCTGTTGCCGGTAATGGACGCGTAACATATTTTATGAATTTGCAGACGGTATTATAAATTATGCAAAATATTGTGAGAATCTTAAAATCATCTGTGACAATCCTAGCTTTTGCAATTAGGTTACAACTTGATCTCTCTATTCGAGATCAAAAAAGTTTCCCTTTCCGGGAAGCAAGGAAATAAATCCAATTTGCAGCCACCTTCTGTAATTTATTTCTTTTAACCGTACAGTTTGGAGAATTCCGACGCGGAATCCTAGGTACCAGGAAAATTCATCAGGGTGCTGACAAAACTTATGAGCCGTCCCTCGTTCGCGATTTTTCTTCCTTTTTCTTTTTTCATCCCTGTGTGGGTCTTTCTGTTAAATTGGCGAGGATAAAGATGACATCCGCACAAACCATTCTGCAAAAGATACTTAAGGGGGGTTTCGGAGATAAGTGGACTCGGAAAAAAAGAGGGACGTTGAACTTCCCTGCACATACCGCAAAACGGTTGGAAAAGAGGTTCGTGTGCTAATGGTCTGTTGTGCCGTGGGAGGAACTATCGGGAAATTTGCGGGGTCTCCCCGTTTAAAAAAAGGAAGGACATCGTTGTCCATCATGTATTCTCTATGACCAGGGAACAATCGAAGCATTCTTTCCACAAAATAAATGCACTCTTTCGCACTGAAAAAGCTATTAAATCCATCAATCTCAGGTAACGATTTCGTAACTCAGCGTGACCGCGTGGTTTTGTGAGCTTATTTTTGCTTTTTGCGCCGCACGATCAGCATAAGCAATAAAACAGCACGGGGGAATCTTTTATTTACAGATTTTCGCTTCTCGATCTATCATTCTTTTATTCTACGTCTAACCAACATTAATTCTAATGCACTTACATTTCTTCCACAGAAAATGGAGTTGTTCGCAGAATTTTAATGCCTTTTTATGTGCTTGAACCAGGAAAAATCAATAGTAGGGTTGGCCGGAGTTCATCGTGAACCCATCTTACCTTTAATTCGCGATTTTTAAAAATGAAAGAATTCAAGTTTAGTGCGGAACATAGAATAAAGTCCGAAGATTCTTCATCTACAAATCGATGCTCTGTATATATATATTGTATATATACAGTAATGTAATTGCTTGTGGTTTTCCTTGCTTAAGATAATTCCTAGATTTAAAGTACTTTACTTCGTTTATTTGAACTGTGGCTTGCGGCGTGGAAAACGATATAAATGCGTGTCATTGTGGTTATTCACGAGTTGAATTATTGTATAGTGTGCTGGATGTTTCATTACCGGCGTTTTCAATATGAAATCCAGCCTTGAGGTTCGATTTGAAAGCACAGGGTTGATAAACCCATGCAGCCAAAAAGGAAACAGATAAGGAATCACGCCATTGTCTCGAGCCGGGTAAATGAACCGGGTGTCGAATGCTGGATTAACGCCTGGCGGAAGCGGGTTCAAGGCCGACGTGCGTGACACTGTCGACACCATGTGCTGTCGACTCTCAGATTCACGCGCGAACGGGAACGGAACTGAGTTGAACAAAAATAAAATTCGGATGTGATCCGCGATTGATCACGTTAGGACGATAAAATCTCATCAGGGGAAGCTTTCATTCCGTCCATGGGAGTCCCAGCGGCAGAAGAGATTCTGTTTTGTTATTTGATGACGCAAGTGTCGAACGATGCAATGACCTCTGATTGACGATTACTTATCATTTGATTATTTTTTTTCTGCAGGTTCGTTGCCACCTAGCCCAGCCGACAGCGGTGTGTCGGACGTGGACAGCAGCAGCAGCGGTCATGCGTCCAATGACGAGTCCAAGTCTCGGCTTCATCTAGCCTCCGGTGAGTCTCTTTTTCATTTTCAGCTATTTTACATCGATCCCTCATTAGTTTTCCATCGGTAATTACCGCACTCCGTTTTCCTGTCATCATCTCCCCAACTCTTCCGTGAAGATAATTTCCGGGTAAAGGCTTGGCGATCGGCGCGACACGACACGACGCAATCTCCTCCCCGTGGGACTTAACTCCGGCAATTTCCAGGAACATGGCTAAAAAAAACGTTTCTTTACAAATTATTGGTTATAACAGCGAAATTATTGTTATAGGAATATTCAGCCATTTTTTTCCTGCGCAATAATGTAGCCCGCCTTCAATCGACTCCCGTTGCTCGATCGCTAATTTTTTTTGTGCCGAACGTGGAAAAAAATCCGAGGGATTCTCAGGCTTAAAGTCAGTCGTCGTGCATGATCCAGGTCGCAGAACAATAGTAGCTTCTTGTCCAACGGCTCAGTATAGTTTTTCGCTCATTCGCTTGCTCTAGCCCTTTTTTTCTTCTTTTTTTTTTTTGCATTTCGAGCTGCTTAACCGAGGGCGTGAGGGATCCGCGTGACGTTTGAGTCCGACAGCTTGACGCACGCGATCAAAAAAAAAAACTTCTCTTTTTTGTGCTTGTGCCCAATACCTGATGTTGTGTGTTCGATGATGAATACATGTGGACGTCATTGCTAAAAATATTCTTTGAAAGCCGAGAAGGAGCGGAAAAAACACATAGTTCGGGGAAAATGGGAACAATGGCAAGAGCGTATACAAGATGTGTCGTCGACCTAACTTCGTAGCTGAAAGTATCAAGCGTTTGAAATGTTTAGCATTTTAGTATCTCAATTCACGACCCTGGATTATGAGATCATCAAAAGCCATCCCCTCAGTATTTTGTTTTTCAATTTCAAAATAGGAGATTTAAAAGATCCAGAAGTTTGAATACTGTAGTTCCCTGTTTAATGTTGCTCCTAAAAAAAAAAGTTCAGCGACCTGAAATATTTCTGCAGGCTTCATTAAGCGACTGTAGAATTGGACACCGAGGTTAATTTATCGTGTATGCTAAACGTTGGAACTACGGCGTCGAATTAGGAACACTCCGTTTCCGAAAAGAAAGAAGAATAAATAAAAGCAAAACCTAGTCGAGAGGACAAGAAATGAGCCCTCTTATTATTGGCGCAACGAAAGAAACCTCAGCCCGTGACCCGCATTCTTCTGGTCGATCTGAGTTTGGAAACGAAGGACGTGCGGAAATTTAAAGAAAAAGGCAGAGGAAAAAAATGTCTTTTCCGCATATATACCCCCGTTACTTTCGGCTTCCGTCATTCGACAGTCATGTGTACATGCAAAAAGAGGGAGTGGGGAACAAAATTGCGAAAGTTTGTTCGGAAAAGGGGTCATCCGTGAGTTGGTTTCTCCCGCGTTCGTGTCGTTCCCTGCGAATCCGTGGTTCGCGTCTTTGGAATTTTAACCCGCGCGCGAGGACGAGAGGTGAGAAAAAGAAGAAAAATAGACGAGGGATCGATTTCGAAGGTCGGGTGAGAATGAAAAACTGCGGATTTATTTCGGGATCAGAGGAAGAGTATTTTTTGAAGCAGTTTTGGCTCTTCAATGCCGAGGTCGGTCGTCAACGGGTATATTTGTATCCTAGGTCACGGCGCTTTGGTCACACCGCTTCTCCTCCTTTGTAAACCCCTGAGTATTGGTACTGTGTCTTCGATTAATGCATTGCGACGAATGCTTTTGATTATTGACTCGTTGGTTTCGTAGATCAAGCCTTTGCTTAGTGTCAGAGATTTTTAAAATGCCAGCCCTGATTTTTCAAGACTAAATCTTGCTCGACAATTTAATCTTGGAGGAACCTTCACATTCAGCATTGCCAGAAAAACGATTGCCGTGGTCAGAAATATCTACTTTATCGTAACTTACTAATCAAATTTGGAAAATTAGGAAATATTTCAATTGTGTTCAATTTCCCGTAGCTTTCGAACAGCTCATGTATTTTTGAAGCATACAGTGCCTAAGATGAAAGTTGTATCCGAACTGGAATGCAATGCATTTTCAGCTCTTTCTTCTCATCCTGCTCGAGCAGATGAATTGAAAAATATAGTCCGAAAATTATCAAATGTACAATGCAGCACTTCTGTAAAAATTTCGTGCAATAATGTCTATAAATGCTATGGATCGCGATGTGATTAGATGTTTAAAAGCCACTCTTTATTGCAATGCAGAAACAAGGTCGGATAAATTCATTCGGCTTTTTCCTGAGCTCCTTCCAGGCTTTCCTCTGCTCGGCATCAGCATTCGTGAGCTTGACGACCGCAGAAAACCCGAAGGTTTTGCGTAATTTCGTTGCACAACACTGATCTCCCTAACACTGATCTCGATGACTGATGTTTTGTGCGCAGCGAAATGGCGTTCTTTGGATTTTGCGGTAATGATTATCTCAGAAGAAGCTTTCTGGGGAGAGCGATGAATGTTTTTTGAGCAAAAGAGAGTAAGGGGGGAATTGGTGTTCGAAGACAAACGATGAGCTTTTTGGGCGTTTGCCACGAACAGGGAACGAGCGAGCTGCACTGCAAGTCAGGGGAAGAAGACCTAGGCCCAGTTTTGCCTCCTGCTCCTTTTTCCCCCACTGTATGTTGTCAACCTAGATCTTGAGAGGTATTTATTTTACCATTCCTGGAGGCTTCTCTAACCAACCTGCACTCTGAACAGGGATCCTGTGGCAGTGTGAGGGGGGGGGGGGGAAGCAGCGTTCTTTCTATTCATAGCGATCGAGTGCAAGTCGATTTTCGCCGCTGACGAGGAGGAAGGTAGTCTTCGGTCCGATAAGCAAATGAAGGCGAGGAGCGATTCTCCCTTCTGCAAGTTCCTGGTCTCGCTTTGACTCGCAATTATTTTTCATTGCTCTCGTTTTTATTTTTCCTCCTCGAATTTTGCTCCTTCCTCTTGTGTGTAAATGCGGGGGGGGGGGGGGGGGGGGGGGGGTGGNCTTCCTCTTGTGTGTAAATTGGGGGGGGGGGGGGGGGGGGGGGGGGGGGGGGGGGGGGGGGGGGGGTGCTCGTTCTGAATGGCTCCTTTTTTTGAGCGAAGACTGCTTAGGTGGCGAGAAATTTACTCGCTTTCGTTGCTTCCCATGCTTCGAGAGATTCTTCTTCATTAAGCTGGGTTTTCATTTATTTTTTTTCGCTGCTCGCGGTATTTTTCACTTTTTCTGCTCAGATTTTTGTCAAGTGATGAGCCGTGAAGTTCCTAGAAGCCACTTGAAAGTTTTTGAGGTCGAACAAGAAGACATGCTGCGCTGATTTCCTCCTTTGCTACGCAGATAATTCAGCCGCATGAAACGTATTTTTTATTTATTTTTTGCTTTGCTGACCGTAATTCGCGCAAGGCCAAGTGTTTTTGTCGACGTCGGATGTCGAGTCAAAACTAGCACGTCTTGCGCAAGTGCAACGGCGGTGTCTTTTGATGGTGTTGTGAACCAGGGCGAGACCTTTTTTTTTTTCCTCGCGCATTTCGTTGATCGTATCTTTTTATCACGCAAAAAGTAAACAACGAGAATATTTTTTTTATTGCCTTGATTCACGTAATGCATGCGATGCGTCACTGACGTGTTTGTCGAGCATTTCCTTCGCAGTCCTTGACCCCTTCTGTTGTGAGTACATCCCCTCTCCGGATTTTATGGATTTCATCCGGAGCAGATTTTCTCTTGGGGAAAGTCTCAAAAGCTGGCTTCGGGAGCTCTTGAGAGTGCTGGCGTATCATTGAGTGGCATCCTGTGTTGAAACAAGGGAAATGTGTATATTTTCCAGGATTTTCATTCCGAGTTTTCCCTCTCGATTGGTTTTTGTAGTGAAATGCGACGGAAACGCTACAAATGCAACCGGATGTGAGCGGCGCTTTCAGAGCATTAATTGATGAGTCTAAAGACCTCGATAATTTTTAAAACCATTAGGTTTTTTTGGAAAAAATATCCCGAGAAAATCAGGCTAAAGTGCATGTAATTTAAAATTGTGTACGCTTGAAAGACATAACGTATATGAATTCCTTATCGCTGGCTAGACACTTACAAAATTTATTAAGATATTGTTTGTTCAATTTAATTCATTCAGATCCTATTGTCCGAAAGAGTTTGAAACGAACAGACATTTTAAAATTGAATTTGGCTGTGCATGTGCTTGGGTTAGTTGAAACAATTGGGAAGTTAAGTTAAAATGAAGTACAGTACTGTAACGGTATTTTAAAAATTCATTTTTGAGTCCGTTGTTGTACGGGGGAAACACTTGAAAATTATCATAAGAAAATCCAAAAATGCTCAAATTGCATCGTTTATTGCTTAATTTTGTTTTTAAAATATCTATCCCCGCCTAACCTAATTTTCAGCTTGAGAGAAAGATACATGTCTTCCGCAAATTCCAGTTTGGAATGAGTTGATAAATATTGCAAGGGGAATTTGTTCCGGTCAGCGTTACCGACCGGGTGCTTTTCTCCGGTTACCATTTGAGGAAATCCTTGCGAATGCAGTACAGTACAGTATTTCTATTCCCTGGATTTGAACTAGCAAATCCCGGACTTCGATTCCCTTCGCGTAAGCCTTGCACTTGAATGATTCGAAGCGAAGCGCAGGGAATTCAGCCGCGTCAGGAACTGGTTCGAAAGGATGAATCGTCGCTTCTTCTGCTTCCGGGTAAGGATCCAAATGTTGCCAGGGTGGAATGTCAGAAATGAAAGAAAGAGAGAAAAAGATGCTATCGCGTGATAACTGCGTGACGAGGTAGTGTCGGCGAGCAGTGATGCAGCGAATCCCGACGCGAAGCGACGGGATTCACCCTTCACTGGAGTTCCGGGGGCCCGACGCTTTTTCAACTTGGCTTCCATATTCTGTGCCAGAGGGGGCTTTTCATCTTTTTTTTTTCTACGATGTAAGGCATCACACTATCAAAACCCGACGATATTGAGTACCATCAACGGTGTGTGCTACACTAAGACTCATAGGACTTCATTATTAATTCAAAATTGTCATGCAATCCGTAATTTTAAATAAAACCTTTAATGACGGGTACTGGATTTTCCATGTTCTTTTTATTTCTCTCTAGATGCTCCCTTCTGACCTTTTTCTTGTAAGTTCCCCTCATCTTGCCTTTCACGCAGAAAATGAGATGAAATCGTACTGTACATGAAATTTTTAAAAATTCGATTGAATTAG